AAGAAATAAATATTGTTATTTTATTTTTACTTATAGCTATGAACAGGCAAACATGGCACTATTTTTTTAGAAACCGATCAATGGACGTTATTCCATATGAATCTTTGCTACACGCTATTATAGTTATTTTTATACATTTTGTAAATAAGTCACATTTGTCCGCGAACGCCAGTTATTCGAATCAAATTATTTTAATAAAACCGGATTTCCTGTATGATACATATTCCGAGAAAAATATGAACAATTCTATAAATAAAACGATTGTTATTAATTTTTAAACCAGACTAGACGAAGTATTTTCATCATAAAATTCAATTATCTCTACCAGTTATATACAGTTCTAAAATATTTATCAAATTCGTATTCTTGTTTCAATACGAATTCCGATAAAATCAAGACTATTTTTATTAGAGATGGGAATTTTTGGTCGTTCGAATAATTCGTATCATTTAAATCGGGTCAGTCTAGTGATTCGATCGAATGATTCGGTTCTTTCAGTAATTTTGGTCAATCATCCAATATTTTTCTTATCATTAGGTCAATAAATTTTCTTTTAAATCAGTTAAATCAGTAACAGAAATTGATTAGAGACATATTCTTAAACGTAAGAAAACTATCAGGATAAAGGATAGGTTAGAGCTCAAACTCGTAAACAGAAAATAAGCCGTAGATCATAGACGCAATTAAAGTGGGGAGCTGAAGAGGCTAAGCCAGTCCAAAAACATTCAAAGCCCCCCAAAATTCATGCAGAATTTTATATTATTATACTGATAAATAAAAAAAAATAGGTGATTACTACTGAAAAAATGAATAAAATACATTTTTATTATTTATTTTTAGTATCAATATTATAACCACGGTCTTAGATACGTTGCTCTATTAATCCAGTATTAGATACAATATTATGTCAAATGAAAAAAATATTTTCTGAAGAGATCATTCAAATTGTGACTTGTTTAGATAACTTATTAAAATTAAACTTTGAAGGATCATCATAACTTATAAATCAGTATAAGGTTATTTTTTTTATATAATTACTGTTTTACATTCAAAAATTGTATCTTTGTATTTTACTCTACAGAATTTATTTGAAGTCATCCCTAATGATTTGAAATGTGAGATGATTGTTTTGAAAAATTGAATAAAAAGAGTTCCTAACTATTTAACCATTAAAGAAAATATATCTAAAGATATATTTTCAAATCTTTATAAAATGATTCAATTGGCTATCACTCGTCCGGTCAGTTCGGCTACTTGTGAAAGATCACTTTCTGCAATGAGAAGAATTAATAATTATCTCAGGTCTAATATGTCACAGGAATGGTTTTCGAAATTGGCATTACTTGATATTGAGAGAGATATTATTGTAGATACTGAAATTATATTGAATTCATTTGCTAAACAAAATTTGAATAATAAAAATATAAAATTTAAAAACTATATTAAATTTGTTACCTATACTCCAAAGTGAATTAATGTTTTATTTTTTATTATTAAGTTTTACTTGCCTTTCAACAAGCAGGTAGTGATTTAAAAATATATGGGAAGGGTTGTAGCCCCCAAATTTTTACTCTAATTGTGCCTATGCCGTAGACCAGAGGTTCCCAACCTGTGGGTCATGACCCATAAGGGGGTCGCAATTATATTTTTCATGTGTTTCTATTACTTATGGTTGATGTTTAATTATTTATTTAGTTTTATTATAAACTGTTATCTACGTTTGTGACAATTACAAATTTACTGCGACTAATAGACATAATAATATTTTTTTATATGTCTATGCTCGACTGTGTCAACACAACGCAATCGAATTAATGATAATTGAAAATATAGCAATATATTTGAAACAAATTAGTACCTGTATGACGTTCAAATAAATTGATTATTTTCAGTAACAAACGGTACATTGAATACGATACATGCACGCAGTTTAAATCTTGCTATTTTTCAAATAACCAATAAATTCGTTTTTTTTTTTGTGATTTTGTACAGTTACTATGGACAAATGGTTAAATAAAAAGTCAATAACTCAAAGTTCTACAAAAATTGAAGAAACAGAGATAATATCTGAGTCAGCGGTTAAAAGAGAAAATTAATTGATTTATTGATATAATTATTAATATTTATTGATGATGAGCTTACAACAAGTTCTTTGCAATCAAAATAAAAAAATGGATATCAATCCAGCTATGAAAAATAGGAAACAATTATATCCTTCACATTAAAATTATATACTTACTAATTAAATTACATAGAATAAACTTTTTTTTTATAAATATAATACTTTTCTTCAATTTAAAATGATGAAAACAGCAAAAAAAAAAACAGTGTAAACTTTGTTTTATAAATGTAATATTTTTCTTTAATTCAAAATGATAAAAATAGCAAAAAAAAAAAAAGGTCAATGATATTATTTTGGGTCGTCAAAACTGAAATAATTTCCAAAATGGGTTGTACTATAAAAAGTTTGGGAACCTCTGCCGTAGACAGTATTACCATATGTACGAGAAATCAAAATTTTTATTTAGTTTCAGTCAGTCATAATTTACTATTAGTTCTATCAAGACTGAAATAAAAGTTTCATTCAAAACCATAAAAAGACCTAAAGATCGATTGGACAGAGTACATCGTTCAGTCGCAATTCGGTCAATCGACTGACTCGTTTATATTGATTCAGTCGCGACCGAACCATCTCTAATTTGTATGTATAACTGAAATAATTGTAGTTTGAAAAAATTGGTAAAGAGAAGGTATTTTTGATTTTACGCAAACACGCGTTTTTTCAGCTAAGTGATGATGCAGTTTAAGAATCTTATTATTTTTTTCAAATTCTCATTAATAGAACTTCGGATTATCACAAATGATTATTATTTAACACGTTTTCCTATTAAATAAATACTATTGAGATTTTAATGAAAAAAAAATTTGTCGGTTCATGCAAATTGTGGGATAAAAAAAAAATAATAATAATAATAAATAACAAAATTAATCATTATCACGTTTACCGTTTATCATACTGTTTTTCGGTAGAAGAAAAAACAACCTGAACAACTAGAAAAAAAAATACCAAAAAGAGATACAGTAAAACATGGTACTTTTAGGATATCGCGTCTCTGGCTACGGCTGTTTACTGGTGGGCTTATATCGTGTCGTTTAGTAACGATTTACGAACAAATTCGGCCGAAATCTCCATCGTTGATCTCCTTGACCGTCTATAGCGAAGAAGACGCCTTATCGAGAACACCCGTCGCGACTGATCGTCGTTGATTCTTGGTTTGCGATTCGACAAACACGGTGACATACCGTGCCAAAATCTTTACCGCCAGAACTGACACTATCCATTGTAATTTACAATTTTTTCGTCGCATAAATCATAATTAACGTGTTCCTATGTACAATTTTAATGTTTCACAGTGTTATTTATGTGCAGTAACCGATGTAGTTGTATTTTAGAATCCGAAAGTATCACTGCCGCGAGTAGATTTTTATAGGAAATTTTTCTTCTCCTCATAAATCACGGTTCAAATTATTTCATGTATGTTATCGTTTTCAGTGCACAACCGCGAAAAAAACCATTTGCCATTCAACCAATGTATTTTGAGACCATATTCTTAATTTACACGCCATCGTTGCGCACATAAGCCTCTCGGACATGTAAAAATCGAAATCTCTCATCGATTATCAAACTCTACCCAGCATTTCGTGTCGAGTAGATTATTTTTTACTACCTATAATTAACGTAATTCCATTTTTTATTCAGCTCACGAACGAAATAATATTTATATTACTCTCGCGGGGCTCACCGTCGTTTTATATATTTTCTTCATTAACATAGAGGAACAACCGGTAGGGAGGGTGGAAGTAGAGGCCTAATAATTACGAAGTGTATGACAGTACATGTCGAGGATCAACATTTAGGGTACACCCGGTTGTAAGTATAATGTGTGCAAATTTATTCTTTTCAATTGAAAATTTTAATTTAATTATTTGTCATTTAAAATTCTATTTATAAAATACTCTTAATAATTCGGTACTAAATAACTAATTGTATGTACTCATTATCTCAAATGTTTATCGTCAAGTATACCATAAACTGCAGTAAACGCAACAATTATTTTAGAAATAATCTATCCCATTTTAGTCGTCTAACGAGTAGCGATACCATAACCTCAACAATAAACGGTGGCAAATGGAGGAGTTATGAACGTGTACGAAGTATGAATGCCAAATATAGCTAGTATTTTTCTATAATAATATATAAAAACAATAATTAATATTAAAATTTCGTTTGTTTAAAAATTCAACTATTAATTAATTATTACTATTTAAAAACAGAGTAGACCTGCCGAGACCTCACTTCGGCAGAATCTAAGCTACCTTTTAACATTTTTTTTTCGACAGCAATTTTTTCAATAAGTGAAACTGTCGATATAAATTAATTTGTGGAGATATGGTTAATTCTTGAGAATCTGTTGGTAATTAACCATCATGAACACGAACAATATTCCGTAATCGGTAAAGGGAATAAATTAAAAATTGTTCTTTTTCAGCAATAACTTAAGTACTTCCTCTGAAGACTAAGAAGTTATACATCACACTACGATGCAAGTTATTCAAATTATTACAAATTGTATTTTACAAATAATTGCATAAATGTTTTCATCACGAACACGAATGAATAAGGAGACCGTTCTGTTAGACATGAAAAAGTGGATGATAACTAGGGCTCGGAACTTAATGCACTTAAAAAGTACTAAATATGTATGCACTTATGCGCTTAAAAAAGTAAAAATATGCTCTAAAAATATGCACTTATATTTAATTATTTTACACAACATTTTCATTAGCACAAATATTTTTTTAAATTTGTTAATAAAAAAAAAAACAAAGTAATAAAAGTTATTTTTATTTATATTTATTAATCATAATTTAAATAAAAAAATAATAAAAAAGTCGCTTTAAAAATTAAAAATGTTCCTTGAGTAAAAAAATGCACTTCTGTCGAGTTATATTTATATACCTGAAATACATAACACAAATTACTAAATTAGAAAAAACCACCAGGTACATGCCTAATTAAAAAGTATTTTAATTAATAATTAAAATGCATTGGATATAATTTTGTTCTTACCTTCCAAAGTGTTACATTGGACCACTAAACTTTTTTTAATGTTTTTAAAATTGAAAGATCGCCGATTATCCACGAGCAAAGTTTTGTACCTTGAAAAACTACGTTCAACATCAGTTGACGTAATCGGCGCATATTTGAAGTAAGTAATATCGTCACCGGTCAAATCATCAGGAAGACCTTCCATTGAACTTTCTTGTCCACTTAATATTTTTGAAATATTAAGTATCGTTTTAAATCCACAATTTTTCTCCAATACATTATTGAATTTTTGAAATACCACAAAACCAATTTCACCCTCACAGTCGTTTAATTTATTTTGGACATATTTAACTGCAGATAATGCTTCGGATAGTGAAATATATTGTGTTTCAAGTTTCGTAATATATTCCGGTATAAATCCAAAATTTGAATGTATGTATACTAATTTAGCTTCCATATTGGGATCTTGAATTAACTGTTGAGCTTCTTTAACAGAAATTGCATCTTCAGAATTTATACTTAGTAATACTCTACGTATATCCTTGTAATATTTGCAGTAATAGGAAGCTGCCATTATCCATGTACCCCATCTAGTTATTATTGGCTCTGGTGGAAGTGGTATGGCTGGTGCTTCACTTTTAAACACTAAAACACGTGAAGGCGCTTTTAAGAACACCTGTTTAACCCTGGAAATAAGTTTATCAACTTTCTTAAACTTTTCCCGTATACTTTCGGCTACTCTATGGATACCGTGTGCGAGACATGTTAAGTGTATCATTTTAGATTACAGTGATTGAAGTATTCGCCCAGCTTTCACCATGTATGGTGCGGCATCGGTCACAAACAATAGGACGTTATCATGACGAATTCCGTTTGGCCAGAGGACGAACATTGAATGATCAAAAAGTTTAACTATCGTTGAATTATTTGCTTTTTCCAAAACTTCGGTTGTTAGCAAATAAGTTTTTCCCGGTGCGTCAGTATTTAAAGTTCCTATTATAACGTTAGCTACATATCTGCCTTCAGAGTCTGTTGTTTCGTCGATAGACACCCATATTTTATTTCCTTTAATTTGTTCTCTTATATTTTTTATAGTTTCTTCGTATATGTCGTCGACATAAGTTTTGCGTAGTGTCGAGTCACTAGGAATTTCTCTTGACGTATACTTTTCTAAAAATGATTTTAATTGAGGATTACTTATTTTGTAAAGTGGTATATTTGCTGACAATAATGCTTTACACAAATCGTGTGAAAAAAGACACTTTTTCGAAGTATTAGTTACTAGCTGTTGAATTTCAGAATTTGTGTTTTTTACGTTTTTACTAATAATTGCTCGTTTATGTTTCTCAGTGTTAACGTGTTGACCACAAATTTTCGATCACTGTTAACTTTCACTTCACATAACTTACAGAATAAAATACTTCCGTCGGTTTTGAATATATCCGTACCATATTCCAAAAAAAAACTATTCAAACGATTTTTCGCAGATTGTTTGGTTTTCGGCATTATGAAATAAAAATAATATAAGTAGGTAATTGAAACAAGAATGACGCATAGAACTACTAACTACAACAGATAACACGGACGTATAAGCCGGAACTGACAAAAATATCTAAGCGGTAGGTCTATAAATGCCATTAACAATAGTCAATAATCATTGAGTTATTTTCCTATAAAAGTATTTATAGAAAATCGTCGTACTTTGATAGCAGCTGTTTCTATTTTAGATTTGTATAATATTCTATTTTAGATAAAGCTATCTGTAGTTGTAATTTATGTATATATATTAATATTATATCATATTAACCCATAGGGGAAAAACAGTTTTTAATGTCAAATGGAAATTTGAATAATACGATACAAGAATATTTAGTAAGGTCTCTGAATATGAATGTATTTATTTTTTTATTTACAAATTTTCATGTTGAATCTCCTAATCTCCATAAATTATAAAATATGCTTTAAAAAATTGTAAAATTAAGAAATATGCTCTAAAATCTAAAAATCACTAAATATGCAAAAATATGCACTAAAAACTTTTGATATGTTTTTCGTAGTGTCTTGGAATGAATTTCTAGCTTGCTTAGCAATAAATCTAATGGTTCAAAAAAATCATGCAAATGCAACAACTTCCGAGCCCTAATGATAACATATAATATATAAGACCACATTTTACATTTACCCAATTAATTTCGGAGTTTTCGAACGTAACGTGTTTTTTTTGGGGTACGGGGGAAGGTCAATACTTATTTCAGGTTTGGTATCGGATGGTTTCGCCGAAACCGATTATCATAGAATCCGTAGCAATCGTTTGTTTCGTAAAATTTCACGAAACGATTTCCACACCGAACTCATCTAACGGTCGTCGATTTTGCGTTGAACGAGCACGCAGGGCCGGGGGGAAAAAAAACGAAAACAAGACCGAACACGACCGGGTTTTCCGCGTGGACTCCGCTTCTCCGGAAGAAGGGGGGGTCGGAAAATTTAAAAATTTAACGGACGGCGGTCGGCCGGACCTGGACTGCGCAGTTACCGCGTTCCCCCGTGGTGTCGATACGTGATCACGTGACGCGCACGCCGCTGCTACCCCCGGGCGCGCGGCGGGGAGAAGTGGTCTCGGCGCCGCCGCCGCGGTGCGCGCCACCACCGCTGCCCTTGACTGTGACCGTCGCGCACGCACGCCGGTTACACTCGTTCACGGGACCCGAACGCGCACGCACGCGAACGTACCGGACGCACGCGCGAAACCGGGCGGGAACATCGGGGCGACGACGGGCGCGCGCAAACGAGACAGAACGAGTGGGGGGCCGGGCGACGAAGAGGGCGCGCGCGCGTTACCGCCGCGTATCGTCGCCGTCGACGCCGCCGCCACCGCGCGGGTGTTTCGCGCGTTCGCGTCTTACCGCCGGCGCGCGCACAGTCGGTCAACGAAATAGAAAGTGGCCGTACGTCGTCCGTGCCGCACGCGCTACGCCGTACAAAATTCAAACACACTACACACACACACACACACATACACATACACACACACACACTCCTCGCACACCTGTGACGAAGTACAAATCGTTATTAAATTTATTATTGTTTAAATTTATTTTTCGTTGTTTTTTTTTTTTCGAATCTCTACGATTTAAGAAAAAAAAAATCGTCCACGCGTTTTCTCCTATCCGTACGAACGATCGTCGCAAGTACGCAGCAGATCTGTCGCGTGTTTTGTCGACGGAACACCAATCGAAAACGCGAGATACGTCCACGTAAGACTCCTCGAGTGCGTTTACAACACGTAACCGCTTACCGCTACTACTGCTACTACTACTACTAATACCGACCCAAAGCAACTGTTTCTGCTACCGTCTCGCCCACCCGTCGGTCCGCGGACGCGCGGCATGCGACCATCGCCGTCCGTTGCACCCAGTGGCCGTCGTCGTCGTCATTGAATGGCTCCGCGCAGGAACGCAATGGGTTTCAACGGTATCGGGCACTTCGTCGACCTGTTCGGGCCAACCACCACCACGGCCGTCGAACAGCTGTTCCAGCACCAGACGCCGTTCCAGCTGCATCACCAGCAACAGCAGCTCTACCAGGAGTGCTGCGTGCCCACGAGCGACTGCGTCATGCGGTCCGCGCCCATCAGGCCCGAAGACCCGCGGGCCGCCGACCTGTACGCCCGCGTGGTGTGCAGCGACGGTGGCTGCACCGCGGGCCGGTACATGCACCGCGAGTGCTTCGATGCGTGGGAACGCCTGGTGCTGGCGTACATGAAGAACGCGGCGGCCTCGTACGCCAACGGCAACGGCGGCAGGCGCATCAAGGACCTGTGGACGGTTAACGTGAACAACAACAACGTGGTCAACATGAACCAGAAGGGCTACGAGATGGCATTCAAGGCGTGCGGCTGCCGGTGCGGCCGCGGATACCTCAAGAAGGACTCGGAGTGGCCGTCGTCAGCCGCGCGCCGCCAGTCGTCCGGCAGCGGTGGTTGCACGGCCGATGACGTCGTGGACGGCAACGTCGTCCAGGCGCACGCGGCCGTCACCGGCAAGAAGAAGAAGCGCCGGCAACAGCCCAAGCCCGCGGCCCTCGTCCAACCGTTGATGACCATGGCCGATTACGCGGAGCTGCGGTTGCGCGCGGGCAGCCTGTCCGGCTCTTCAAACGGATCCAGTTCACCCCTGACTGGCGGCACCAATTCCACCAGCAGCAGCGTGTCACCGGCCCACTCCGGATCGTTCGGCTCCGGCACCAGCACCTCCGGCTCCGGTGGCTCCTCCTCGTCCAAGAGGCGAAGCGGCGCGTCTACCGCCACCACCGCTGCCGCCGCTGGCTTCAAAGACGTTTTCGAAAGGTAAGATTTTCATCCGGTTCACCTTTTTTCTTTATGCGTTTCACACAATCTTTCCCGGGATCATTGTCAGAGAAATCAACAAAGAACTGCTTTGGTAAAACTCACGATGTTCGGAAATATTTTTCGCTTTACGAGAAAAAAAATGTTTTATTAATTTCAATAATCCTTTTCAATTTTGTTCATTGAACTACTGATTTAATTGCTATTTTTTCGAGATCGGGTTGTCTAAGTTTATACTTGCTGTGTACATCACGAACGCTTAGCGTAGGATATAAGTGTAGATTTTATCATATTTCGTTAAATTAAACACTATATTTTCCGTTACATTAATTATACATATTATGTTTTTTGTACGCTTTTTTAGGATTCGAAAGTTTTTCGGTTTTACATTTTTACGATTCCCTTCGAACATTTCTCGGGTTCGGGGTGCAACGAATGGTTTACCAATTGCGTTTAATAAACATTATTTCTAACGCTACTACAATTTGTATTATTATGATTATCGTGTGAATACACGATGCATTCTTAGGCTTTTTCGTGATTAAGTTGGTATGCGGCCCGCGTGTGCGTGTCAACAGTAAACACCGGCCGGCGTATTATCGTGTGTGCCTCGGCGGCCGTCGCGTCGTGAACATACGAATTTAATATTGTTGCCCTAGTCAGACTGTCGGCGCGCGCGTGAGTAACCACCGCCAACGCTTTTTCCAAACTTCCCTTTTCCTTCCCCCGCTGGCCGTCTGCAAATATATTTCTAGTAAGAATGGGGCGAAAAACGCGTGTCCTTTTCTGTTGTCCCCTTCTTCTCTCGTTCCTTTTGTTTTTTTTTTTTATTAGGGGATTCCGACCCTCTTTTCCTAAAGTTTCTGTCTCGTGCACCGTCCCGAATAACCACACCGACTACTTTACACCGTCGCCCGAACAATCCCCGAAAAGATCGATACTGCAAAAAGATTTGTATTACTCATCTTTTAGCAAATTAATACAATTTTGATTCGCCACGTGGTCTTCTCGTCATCTCGTCAAAAAATCAGTCGAAGGACGTCTATCACGTGACATCGAACGTAACTCCATAACTATTAACGCTTTGCGTTTTGTTGTTCAGACGGGGCCGTAAGAATGTAAATAATATACCTAACGTTTCTTTGTGTTCCGAATATGCGCGTCCAGGTCTAGTTATTCATAAAGGAATACATTATGAAACTAATACGAATACTACTAGACGATAAATCACTAGCCGCGATTATAATAATCCTTTCGCCGGTTGTTATTGCTGAGTAGCCGCCGGCGTGTGTTGTATGTGGTGGAGATATTATCGAAATCATCACAAATCTATGTGTATAATAATTACAATAACAACAATAATATGTGACGTAAAAATATCACTCCGTGTATTTATATCATTATATCTGAAACTTGTTTCTCTCCTCGAAATTGTCCTCGCGGGTTGCTATTTTGAGTAGTTTTTATTCCGAATCATCATATTTTTCTCGTTACGTGTTCAAGACCAATATCTACCCACACACACGCACATCGGCACATTTCACAGCCGTTGCATGTTTTCGGCCTATAAGAAAAAGATGTCCGTTTTAATAATATGTATGTGTTTATTTACCGTAATAGTATTAAAACCAAAAATAACCAAAAACATTTTCTCCAAATACAGTTTGATGCCAGAGAATTAACAACGCAAATTATTATTATTATTATTAGTTGTTAGTATTTATTAATGTTATTTAACTACCAATGCGATTGTGAATTTCCTAAGCGTTATTGCCGTTGATAAATATTATTTTGGTTGTTGGCCAAAATGTTTTGCAATTAGACGCCGCGCGCGCCTGTTTGAACAACCCAAATATTCTTCCGGTGTTCTGTTTCCGGTGTTTTTACTCGACTCGTTTCTCAAACCCGTAAGGTCGTTTTACCAAATGTCATCGCCACTGCTATCATGCCATTATCCGTGTTTTTCAGTACCGTTTTCGAAAACTTATCGATTTCTGAAATGACGGCCAACCCCACACCGTAATCGTATGTACGTGTTATATTTGTTTTGTCGTAACTAGTATAAAGGTTTTCCGAAAAAAAAATTAAAAAAAAATTATGTATAATTATCTTTTGAATAGGTAGCTATTGTATTTGATTAGCGGTGTTGTCCTCGCGGAAGATTTTCACGCCGTTGTTTTAAATGCATTGTTTTATGATCGTTTTACATGGAATGTGATATATTCTGAAATCGCGGGAGGAATGTTCGGCCACCCCCGTAGTCATTAAAACGAACGAAAAAAAAAAAACTTTTCGGAAAAAATTTAATTAAGCGTGTTCATAAACACTCGTGGAACGTCGCGTTGTCGCTGTTGCTGCTGTGCATGACACGTAATACAGCGTCGTGTCGCCAATGTAGTATTTTATTTTTAGTCAAAGTAAGGGTCAAAAAAAAAAAAAACCCGAAAACTTACACCAGCGTGTGTCCGGTAGAGAGAGGGTTGCGCGCGGCATACCGGTTACATTTTTATTATCCCGGTCGCAGGGAAAACGAGAACCCTTTTCGGGCGGAGGACACCGTTGTTGAAGCCGTACGTCGTCGAGTTTCCGACCGACAAGCGCAGTGGGTTCCGCGTGTAAAATATTGCAATTTAATAAACCCGAAATTTGTTGTTTTCGCCCGGTTCGTTGTTTCGTTGATCCGACAATGAATTCTACCGGGTTTTTTCACCGCGGACATACATATGCGCGTGTGTGTAACGAAAAATGCTTTCAGAATAATAGCAGACCGTGGTATGTTGTTATTTTTCTCCCGCCCACCCTATTGAAACAAAAACGTGTCCGCGCCGGCTCGTCGGGTGTTTACTACACTACCGCAATACCGCTGCTGGTACTTACCACGACTGCTTTGTACTGTAACAGTTAGTTCTATCTTGACAACGAATAGTTCAATTTACGAGAGCGCGACTACTGACTGCTGCCGCGTGACGTTTGTATATTTATTATCATTATCGTCATCGACAGACATTATTATTATTATTATTATTATCTTCATCGTTACGGAGGTGTGGATGGGGGTTACCATCCTATGAATGTCGGTTGCCTTGCGCGGAACATATTCGGGGAGTGTAACGTTTCATGATCGTCGATAAAATGCGCACGGGTAATATTAACACAGTACTCTCGTGTTTTCGTTTCGTACGGTGTTCATTTGTGCGTATCGCGTTCGTTTTCCCGGACTGATAATCGCGTTGAACAAACGATGACGCGCGCGTTACCAACCGCTTTTGCGCTCTCAGAATAACGTTTCGCCAGCCGAGTTTTCGTCTTGGTCCGAAATCGATCTTTCGAAATCGTCAGCCGTGCGCCGCCGTTTCGTCAGAAGCTTCATGATTTTCCGCTTTACAATCGATTCCCGTTCGAATAGAAGTGCGTTCCCCGTTTTCGTTGGTAGTGCGCTATTTCGATTGTTGGTCGATGTTGATATGAAAAAAAAAAAAAAATTATACGCGCGTATCGTCCACGTGCAACGTGTTTCGGATGCGTTCGTAGTAAAATGTTTATCCGGCAATTAAAAAAAAAAAAAATTCAATCCGTACCGCCTTCCGACAACCTTGAAATATCCGTCACGCACCGCTTTGCTCGGTCCGAGTTGCCGACACCTAACACCGCAACAATAGGCAGTAGTTCGGTAGCGGAGCGCAGCTGTGCACGATAAAACACGGCGTTGCAACATCGAGTCACCGCGTTTGCGGTATACGCGATACGTAAATAAACGTTTCCGATTCGCAATCATTATCGTTGTGTTATTTCTCCTCGTCCCGTAGTTCCCAGTCGGTGGCGGCGGCGGTGGACTGTTTACGGTACACCGATCGATTACCTTATTAGGGGATCGCCGCGTGCGAACGCGATATAATTGCGGTGTGGTTTTCGTTATAGATTTGTCATCGTTTCGGAGCAGCTCGTTCTTTTCTTTTCAAACCCATAGCTCGACGGATTTGCTATTCCCACCGATTTGTTTGATTTTCTTTACGTTTTTCTGCTCCACGATTGGAGGTAAGTCGGATTCGTTTCGTCGTACACCACCCCAGCAGCCTGTCCGTTCACGTACCGATGTGCACGGCACGACAGTAGTGACACGGACGACGTGGTTTTCGGGTTCTGGACTCGATACGACCGGTAAAGTCGTAGAAAACCGACCGTTGTTCAGCCTCCGAACGGTCGTCGTTTGTGGTCGCGGCGCGTCTTCCCTTCGGATTCCTTTGAAGACGTTCCAAAGACCATAAAAAAAATAAATAAAATGAAATAAAATAAAATCTTCGTGCCCACCACTACAATAATAACAATAAACATATCATCATATTAATGTACTCTGGACCGTCTCCGTTTGTACGGCCGAACAGTCTTCGGAATGTTTACAGCACGCTGACCCGTCACCATAATATACACTCTGTGGAGACAACCGTAGTTTCATTATCGGCCACCACGGCATAATGTGTATTATACAACAACAACGATATTACAATAATAACGTGTATGTATTGTACATTATTATTCTGGTCGTCGCGTCTCCGTTACGGTCTAGTTTTATTTTCGGGAAAACTGACTTCGGACTACAAACGATCGCCGTCGCCGCCACCACCACCACTATTTATTACCACTAATGGTACTGCGCCACCTGTACCATTATTGTACTGCAGCGGGGAAAAAAGATACTGTTCGTTTCGTTCTCGCGTTGTGCTAGTGTTGTTGGTCTTGTACGTCGTCTGTTGTAGTGGTCCGATGTAGGCTTGGCTGCGCGTACGTTTTTTTGTTTTTATCAGAGACTTAACGGACAATGCAGTTAGCCCAACCGGTTATCCTTGTTTTATTTGTTTTTTTTTTAACTTAATTAATTGTTTATTATTATTAGTATTGGTGTTATTATTTTTTGTTATATTTTCTTTTCTAGGTTTGTGTTGTCCGCAGTCCAATTAAAATGCGTGTTTAACGAACCGGTGCCGGTTTTCACCTCCCGAACT